TGTTCAGTTAATTCAACATGAGCGTTCATCTCTCAAAAGGATTTTGTGACGGTCAAGGAAACGACGAGGCTTTCGGAGTAGAAACCACCCTCATGTCTTCGTGTTTGTAGTCACCAATTTGTTCTTTGCTGAGGACTTTTCTTTGTAGTCCTTTCTTTGCAATTTTTATTTTCCCTAATTTTTGCCTGAACTAATTTTTTGAATTGATGGTCCAGCGGGATGCCTTAATTTTGCCTAAGTCACACGTTTTCATGTTTTTTTTTTGACTTAGCAGGCTTTTCTTTTTCTTGATTTTTGACTTTTTGAACAAAATGTGTGACATTAGCTTGTATTTGCTTGTTGAGAAGATTGTGATTGCCTCGTTTCTTGATGAATGAGGGATAACATTGTGGTTCCACATCCTCTAGATTCATTATACATGAAGGATAGCCCTCGTAGTTTCTCTTCAAAAAACATCTTCCTTATGAATTTTGAACACTCAGTCAGATTAACTGAAAACTACCCTGCCCCAGGTTAAAATTCAAGGTTTTTTCGTACAGAAAAGAAACTTCTGCTTCAAAGGCTCAAAAGGGGTTAGCAAGGGATTATCTTCCTTATATCTCCAGTGTTTAGGGATTTGAAACAATGCATGTACGTCATCAGCAAGATTTTATTCAAAAGCATACAACCAAAGATTTTGTGTTCTTTAGATCATCATCCTCCCTTCAATCTCTGCCTAGGCAAGAGAATGGGCAACAAGTTAGTATCATAATGCAAAAAGCAATTTAAAATTTGAAAACAAATATGAGTGAAACGAATGAATTTCTTCAAGACAAACATACCCATTGTATTAAGATAATCATTCAGATGCAAACAAGTTCTTACATGCAAACAATGTTTTGATAAACAAGAAAAATTACAAAAAGCATGAATAAGTTAATAATCTAGGAAGGCTTTCCATCTGGACTTGAATTACCGAAAACATCCTTCAAAAATCAAAGTCACCATCAATCGTGTTTACTCTTCGGCGCATGCTTGATTTGAACTTCAAAACCAACGTTCTTGAATGACAAGATACCACTTCTGACCAACTTCTGAACCTCAATCTTGAAAGCAAAGTAACCCTCCAAGCCATGCCCAGGAGCACCTTGATGAAAAGTACAAGCCAAATCAGCTTTGTAGTACCAATGCATCTTCTTAGGAACCTTCGGTGGAGGTCGGGTCTGAACAAAATTCCTCTGCATCAGGATAGGGAACAACTCTGTATAGGTAATTGGAATTGGATCAAACTGGGTTTTCCTCTGATTAGGAACTTGCTGATTCTGTTGATGAATAGGAGAAACATGATGATTCTGATGATGATTATTTCTTCCTCTGGTTCTCTTCTTGAAAAAGTTATTATCAAACTTCTTCACACCATTAGCTGAGCTACCATCTTCATATGAACATCCCTTTCCGACATCTTCTTCTAGACGCACTCCCATATTCACCTTGTCAGGAAAGTTATTAGGTGCATTAACCAACACCTTCTCATGAGAGAATGATTTTAGAGTTTCAGTGAAGACTTTTATCATCGCTTCCTCCCTCCTAAAAGGATTGACTTGGGCGGCAACCAGAATTTCAACCAAACCAGTTAAGTGCTCCATACTAGATTTCAAAATAGTCATCTCTCTACGGAGTTCAGAAACCTCTTGCTTGATATTCTCCATTGTCCTCTTAGCGCGAGTGTTGTACTTAGGTGAAACCAAAGGAAAAAAATAAGACTTGGAAATGACCTTTGAAAGTGAAACAAAAAATGTAGAATGATGTATGATATGCAAAAGAGAGTTTTTATTTGATTTTCAAGGAACTCAAGATATTAGGTTGTAAACATCAAAGTATGAAGATAGAAGATGAATTTTGAATTGGATCGAAGCGTTGATCAAGTTATCATCAAGATCAATCATCCATTTTGGTGGATTAGGGTTTTCACCCTATCAACACCCAAGATCCATTGAGCTTGATGAAACTTGTGATGTTTACAAAGAAAGACCTCTGAATTCCTTGAAAGTCAAGTGAAAAGGGTTTTATGGATGCATGAAGGCATGGCTATGCAACAACCACAAGCAAGGTCACAAGTAAAGTCGAAAGGTTCAACGTCACAAGCATGGAGTCAAGGTAAGGAACACCCCCAAGGTATGTACTAACAGCTTAATCACACATGTAGAACAAGGTTCTAAGAGTTCTCGGAGTCTACATTCCTCCTTCGGATATTACCAACGTCTTGATTACTCAATAATCAGCAATATTCTCAAGAGAAACTCATCCGAACGTAGCATCGCGTAACAATTACTTCCGGATTACTCCGTTATAATCTCCGCGCTACACCTAAAAGGCCAAGATGGGTTAGGGTTCTACGGTTCCCAGCTTCTCTGGCTCCCAGGTCGAAAATAATAATATTTTCCCGATTACTCGGTAAACAAATATTACGTTCAAAAGGGCCTTCCACTGAGTGGGGGATCTCATGCCTCCTTCTTCGGGATTACTCCCTCAAAGTTAACATGACTATACCGCCCGTCCTATTCCTAAGTGTAACTTAGTCCGGGTATAGGACTTGTCCTTTGTAAATATTATCAACACCCAAATAATCATAATATATACATATAATCAAACAATCAAATAATGATAAAACAGATAAAACAAATTAGGCTTAACCCACTTAGGGATGGACCAGCAAGAGGTCAATCTTTCCCCAGCAGAGTCGCCAATTCTGTAGCGGTGAAAATCGGAGATCGAGCTATTAATTAACTCGACTCGCAAAAGCAAGAGTCGCCACCGCGCTTTATTATTTCCAAAGGAAAAGGGAAAAGAGCGAAATAAAACCCTAAAATATGCAATGTATAATGATACTTAAAAGTAATGAAAATACAATGTGTTTTGAAAAGAGATCGAGAGTTCGGGGGTTGGTTATACAATGGGAAGGTATTAGCACCCAATGCATCTGCGGTACTCCGTAGGAACCTTTTGAAATATCTGTTTTTTGGTTAAAAAATGTTTGTTTGATTAAAATGGTTTGTTTGGTTAAAGATGGGTATGGACGATATTTTTGAAGATATGACGACCTAGTGTCGAAGTTTTGACTTAAAAGGTGTGAGTTTGAAATTTGAATCTTTTAGGAAAATCGACTTTAATTTTGGAAAAAATAGTAAATAGGAAAAAATGAATGAGGGTGTTCGCTTGATCGTATTAGATATATTTGCTGACATGAAGTCAACAAATTTAATTCTTTCCCTTGGAGTTGATCATAAGCAAGTAGGTCTAGTAATCGAGCAAGAATCATATATAAGTAAAAAAATCCAAAAGAAACAAACAAGGAGAATAGTGACAAGATAAACTATAAGAAACTAAATAAACGCACAAAGAATAATCATGAATAAAAGGAAAAGATAATTAGAGGGTTATCTAAACTAATTTTGAAATTCTAAGGTTACTAAGTGAACTAAACTTAAATTCTAAAGTTTCTAACTAAACTAAACAAGATTTTAAAGTTAATAACTAAAACTAAATTAAAATTATAAAATTACTAACTTAAAATTCTAAAGTTAATAAATTAAATCTAAAATAAATTAGAATTCTAAAATTACTAAGTTAGATCTAAACTAGAGTAAAAATTTTAAGGTTGCTAACCTAAAACAAAGAAAGTTCCAAAGTTACTAAACTAAATCTAAATCAAATAAAATTCTAAAAGTTTACTAAGTCAAATCTAATGAAATAAAATCTAATTCTAAAGTTTACTAAGTCAAATCTAAATGAAATGAAATCTTAAAGTTACTAAAATAAAACTAAACAAAAAATTCTAAAGTTTACTAAGTCAAAACTAAAACAAATGAAATTCTAAAGTTACTAAATTATATCTAAATCGAATAAAAATTCTAGAGTTACTAAACTGAATCTAAATCAAAAAATTCTAGAAGAATATTAAACTAATTCCAAACAATTAAAATTCTAAACTTATTAAACTAATTCTAAATCAAATAAAAATTATAAACTCATTAAACCAATTCTAAATCAAATAAAATTCTAAAGTCCCTAAACTAAAACTAACAACTAAAATTCTAAAGTTAACTTAAATCAAATAACATTCTAAAGTTACTAATTTAAAACTAAAAACAAATAAAATTCTAAATCTAAATGAAATAATATTCTAAAGTTACTAAAATAAAATTAAACTAATTAAAAAAAATCTAAATTAAATACTAAACTAAATCTAAGACTTACTAATATTTTTTTATATTTTTTTAAAAAAAAAGGTCTTATACTCATCTCCATCGTATCATTATACAGAAACCAATTTCATATTTATATTCATAATCACAAAATGCAGCAACTTGTCAGAAAATCATGGCTTCACTAAATCTACAAACACATAAATCAAAACAGGGTGAAGACACAAGAGAGAGGAGACAAATCTGGTAAAACGGAAGCAATCTCCGTACAGATCTTAATCACCTGCCGTCAACAGCAAAGACGCCCAGACCCACCATTTGCATCCTCCGCGTACCTACACCATTAAGCGTCCTCCGTGCAACCTTCGCGACGAAGCAGCGGCGCACCATCGGTGAGCACCACGCAAATGATTTCTTCCGCACCACCCGCAGATAGCGGACCACTCTTCCATCGCCGCCGGTTCGCTTTTTGTTCTTTTGTTTGTTGTTTTTTTTTCAATTTTGAAAGGGTATGAGAATTTGATTGCTTCGGGTTCTGATCTAGTTTTAACTAGTTTGTTTTGGGTTTGGATGGTGACGGATAATAGCGTTGAACGACTGTGATAGAGATGAAGCGGACGGTGATGATGGTATGTGAACTGATTTGAAGGTAGTTTGATGTTGCTCGCGTTACGGAGAGGGAGGTTGTGTTCCTTGCAGGATAATTGAAAGAAGGGTCGGTGGTTGTGTGTAGCGTTGATGGTATGATGATGGTGAAGAAGCTGGATGCCGAGCCATTTCGCGAAGATTGATGGTGGTGTTGAGACAGAGAGAGGATTACGGTGAGGGTGGTTGGCGGAACAGGGTAGTTTGAACAAACATGTGTGAATGGAAACCGTTTTTCCACACGTGTCCATGAAGTGCTTTACCGTTTACAGAATCTGTTAACAAGGTGCAGGCCTTAATCAAAGAGGAGAATGAATAGCTTGATGGTAAGACACCGTTTTGGAGCATGTTTATGTAATGTAGTAGTGCTTGGTTTGATGAGTGGCAACGAATGCAGGCTTTGATGAGTGCGTTGTAAACTAAAGTGTTTGGTTTTTTATCTGTGTGAAAGTAGAAGTTGCGAGGTTTGTGTGAGAAGACATTGAAGATGATACGGTTATGAATTGGTTCATGAGGAAGCAATCTTGGTTGAAGTTGTGAATAAATGTGGTTGGAATAAAATTTGATATGTTGTGTGGGAAATTGAAGGGTGGTTTTTGCAGGTTGTATTATGAGATCTTGAAGGTAATTAGATTGGTAGTGAAGTTCATGTGAATGGTTAATGAAAAAATTGACAGGTTTCGTTTGGTTTATATTTGCAAGAGAAATTTTGTAGTAGAAAAAGTGTGAAGGGTTTTTTTGTTTTTTTATTACAAGCTTGTTGTTTATGATACAAACATGATTTGAAAAAAAAGTGGTTTTCCTTTTTTTTTTTGCAGCTTTAGTGGAGTAACGTGTATATGTTCTGCAGGATAGTGATATTGGCTTTTTTTTTGGTTTTGTTTTTATGTATCGATCCTCAATTTCATCCAACAGCTAATAGGAATAGAGTATTGTGTGTGTATCGATCCTCAATTTCATCCAACAACCAATGAAAATCAAGCATAGTGTAAATAATATTTTTGTGACCAAATAGCCCTTAAATGATAAAAATAACCAAAAAGACTAAAAATATTAAAATTAACTCCATTTAAAATATTTTTTTTGAACCGTTTCTGAATAAAAAATAAAGACCCAACATGACTAAAAACAATAAAAAAATGGAAGAAAATTTATCCGAAAAATTAATATGAACACATTAAAATAAACTACATGTCACAAAGATTAAATAAAAAATATTCAAGAAGTCGAAATCAAAATAAAATGATAATAAAAATATCGGGCTAAAACAGATGTTTACGGTTAAAAACGAGACTTCAAATTGTATCGAAAAAAATGAAGTGAGCATACCGTCATAATCTACGCGAAACGCAGATTCATAAAATGATCGTTAAAAGGTGAAAACTTGAGGGATTTTTCTCACTAATTTTCCGCACAGTGTCGAATCGCTTTTAACAGTTTGTCTATGAAACCAAAATATTTTAATTATTGACATATAAACAACTTGGAGCAATGCAACAAATGAGTAAATAGATAAAAATGCATGTAGCAAAATGCCGGGTATTTTACAATTGAAAGACGATGCAAACTTTGATTTAAACTGACTTTTCTGATCAACTTAAATACGACTAATGATGCAAAATGTGATGAATGAAGATATTTACTAATGATCGTGACCAAATGACAAAATATGGTATGAATGTGCGAATGAAAAAATTAGGGGCGAAATTAAGGGTGCAACGGTGTGCCTTGATGACTCAGTCTTCGAGAATCCACAATCAACCGTACTTCGGGCTTGGGAGGCTCAAAACCTTAATTGAGGCGCAACACCTGATGCTCTTGATTCAGACCTGTCTCTGCACATGACACAAAAGAAAACGTGAACATACACTTTTGTATGCGATTAGAAATTAGTGATACATAGGCTCAAAATGTTCAAAACACTTGACAATCTTCGCATAGTCAAAGCTCGAAGGTGAGACGTTAAAACCGACCGTATTTCATGACCTTGACTTATCTTAAAAAATGCAAAAATAAAAACGGGATCTTAGGTCAAAAATTGGGGTACAACACACATCTTTCAAAAAATACGAATGATGGGGCAAACCACTGCAAGGTTCAATCAAAAGGAGTTTATTCAAAACAGTTCATCAGGGGCAAATCATCTAAAAGTACCTCCTCCAATATTTGTAGATTGAGGGAATAATGTTTAAAAGTGAAAAATAGTGGGATCATTTGTATTATGATCAAACTATCCATGTTGCATTTCATCCCCTAGGTCGTGATAAATGCACAGGTTCATCCTCGTATTGTTTACTCTCTAGGTTGTAGTAAACGAGACAAAATATGTGATATAACTCATTGTGTCAGTCTCCATGCAATAATGTGTTATCAAGCTTTTTCAAATATTTATCCCCTAGGTTGTGATAGATATGCGAATTTTCAGGATTGTATTATTCATCCCCTAGGTTGTGATGAATAACATAAGCCTATCCTTGTTGTCTTTTATCCCTTAGGTCGTGATAAATGCACAGGTTCATCCTCGTTCTATTTACTCCCTAGGTTATAGTAAACATGATGAAATATGCAATATAACTCATTGCATCAGTCTCCATGAAGCGATGTGTTATCAAGCTTTTTCAAATATCTATCCCCTAGGTTGTGATAGGCATGCGAATTTTCAGGATTATACTATTCATCCCCTAGGTTGTGATGAATATTATAATCCCATCCATATTGTCTTTTATCCCCTAGATCGTGGTAAATGCACAGGTTCATCCTCGTACTGTTTACTCCCTAGGTTGTAGTAAACATGATGAAATTTGTTATATAACTCGTCGCGTCAGTCTCCATGCAGCGATGTGTTATCAAGTTTTTCCAATTATCTATCCTCTAGGTTCTGATATGTATGTGATATTTTAGGATTATACTATTCATCCCCTAGGTTGTGATGAATAACATAAGCCTATCCTTGTTATCTTTTATCCCCTAGGTCGTGATAAATGCACAGGTTTATCCTCGTACTGTTTACTCCCTAGGTTGTAGTAAACATGACGAAATATGTGATATAACTCATTGTGACAGTCTTCATGCAGTTATGTGTTATCAAACTTTATTTTATTCATCCCCTAGGCAGTGATGAATAAAATTGGTGTCTTAAGCTTACTATGTCAGTCTCTATGCATTGGTAACATATTTTCAACCCGTATTGTCTACTCCTTAGGTTATAGTAGATATACGAAACCTGTAATATAACTCATTACGTTAGTCTCGAAGCAGTAATAGGTAATTTGTCTCTCTACAATATAATTCATTGTGTTAGTCTTCATGCGGCAATGGATTATCAAACATTGTGTTATTCATCCCCTAGTGTGATACGGTGGGAGAACTGACTTGGGTGTTTTGAGTTTTATCGCAAATGTTGCAGTTAGCAAGAGTCGCCACCGACTTTTCTTTTATCCAAAAGGAAAGGATAAAAAGAACAGGAAAGACCTTTGGGATTATTTCTTGAGTTCGGGGGGTAGATTATGAAAAGGGAAGGTGTTATCACCCTTTTCATCCATAGTTATCTATAGGGTCTTAGTTGCTTACTAAATCACTTGCTTTTGTTTGAAAATGTGCTTTGTGTGGTTTTTGAAAGTATCTTGAAAAGGCGCCTTCGTTTAGGCAAACTTTATAATAGTTCTCGTTCGTAAGAACGTATACAAAGTGTTGAGCTTTTGAAAATATTTCATGTTTGGAAAAGGTTTTGAAAGTGTTTTTGAAAGTGTTTGGTGTTTATTTTGAAAATAAGCAAGGGTTTTTTATTTGAAAATGAGCAAGCAGCTAGGAACAATCTACCTACTCAAAAGTCTTTGTTCATTTCTTCCTTTCCTTTGATATTGCTATCTTACCATTGATTTGGTAAGAAGCCTTATCTTTGGATGTATAGGAACGGGCGTGGGTCATCGTTTAGCCATGATAGCAATTGTGATCGGTGGATCTGGAACTGACTGTTTAACGCCGGTTCGCGAAATGTCACGGAAGCAAGAGTCGCCACCGTCTTTTATTTTCTCCAAATGGAAAGGACAAAAGCACAGAAAAATTCCTTTAAAGAGATTGCTCTCGGTTCGGGAGGTAGGTTATAGAAAGGGAAGGTGTTAGCACCCTTTCTATCCATGGTTATCCATGGGCTCTTAGATACTTGCTCAATGTGTTTTCAAAAATGTTTGTTTGCTTTTCAATGTGGGTTTAAAAAGTTTCTTTGAAAAATTTCAGTTCGACTCGTACGTCAGAGTGTTTGAAAAATTTGCTTTTGAAAGCTTTTGAAAATGTGTTGGTGAAAAGATGTTTTGATTTGTTTGAAATTAGAGCAAGTATCCTTGAGAACCTACCTACCCTAAGGAATTCGTCTGTGTAAATGTCCTTTAAAGTAGTGCCATCCCACCATTGAGAGGTAGGTAGCACCACCGTTGGAGGTGTTCGGGTCAATTCGAGTTTGTAGGGACATGGTGATCACCAGAGCAATGGGAAGACACCTTAGAAGCTACCCTCATGCCAGGTTCCCGGATCATGAGGACTTACTAAGACGCCCTCTACTCGACGATCACCTTTCGAGGCAAGGCAACAGTGAGACGTACCCTAGGGGTGGTGTGTGCGATTCGTGTATCGTTTTCATTGATATTTGTCTTGTCATGTTCATTGGTGTTCTACGCTTGATTTTAATTAGGACATTCATTCTTGCATGCTTTTTTAACAGTTATAAAGTTGCGGGAAAATAAATCTACAGCTATTACAAATGGCGCGGGTCCACATCGCCAAAATAAACCGGACCCGATTTGACTGAAAGTAAAGAAGCAATAAAATAAAAGTGCGAGAAATAAAATTACAAGGCTTTGGGACATGTACATAATTATAATAAATGACATAAAATAGATGCGCAAATTGAATAAATTATGAACATGGGCGTTGGACCCTTTTGCAATAAATTAAAATTAATGAAGAATTAAAATTAAAATTAAATGTTTTGGTATTTTTGTGTTTTTTAAGATTTAAAAGAAAAAAAGAACTTTTTAGAATGAAATTTGAAATGCAAATCCTAATTCTAATGTTTTTTAGTTATTGTGAAAATGTTATATTAATCTAAATTAAACCCTAATTTTTACTTATGTACATCTAATTATAAAAATAAAATAAATAAATAAATAATATTGTGATAAAAAAAGAAAAATTTAAAAGGTATAAAAAGTCATTAAACCTAATGCTATATTTTTGGATTTTTAGTCATTAAGAAAGTATTAAAATCTAACCTAAAATGCAACCCTAGTTTAATTATGAAAATTACTAATATTATGGCAAAAAACAAGGAAAGTTAAAAGGAATAAAAAAGTCATTAACCTAATGCTATATTTTTGGATTTTTTTATGGAAGAAAGAATTAAAGTTAAAACCTATTTTACTAAATTTATTTACATGTTAATTATTTACAAGAAAATAAATAAAATAAATATTTTTTTTATTTTTATCCTTTTTCTGATTTTTTGATGTTTTTGTATTTTGTTAAAAATAAATTAATTAAACTAATAAAGAAAATAATAATTTGAAAAGAAATAAAATAGAAAGAAAGAGAAGGCAAACCAAGGGGGGGGGGGGTAGCCTCAATTTGGAGGTAAGGCCTTAGCATTTCAGGCCCATTTGTGTTATGGCCTTGCTGACTTTTTACTAGCTTGCTTCAGCGTTGACTGGAGTTTATTGTGCTCCTTGAATCCTTGCCTTTGAATTGATGGAACTGGACACGTGTGTGGCTTGATGGTGAGGGAACATGATGCATCATAGCGTTGTGCCTGCATAGGAATTCACGTTGAAAAATAATATTGAAATAGCATGAGACCTGGGGTTCGAACCCAGGTCTTGGATATTGCCAAGAGAGGTGCCTGCCAGCTGAGCTGTTTGAGTTAA